CAGTTACTCTTTTGTGTGTGCTGTGGTGACATCCTCTTTCAAATATACAATACGGTATTGTTAACAGTAATCACTAAGCTGTACATTAACATTTCGTTCCCATTGATTGGTGGGAACAGGCAGTTCAGCTGATCAATTATGAGGCAAAGAATGGGAGTCTGGAGGTATCTGGCCTTGTCTTAGATAAGAAAGGAGGACATCTGTGAATCTTATCTAAGTCCTATGGGAAAGGGTGTTTCTTTGCAGTAAGCCATTTCCTGAAACACAAAAGGAGGGGCTTCTGGACCTTCGCTGTTTTCCAGGAGCATGGGCTTCTGGTGAAATTCACCATTGCCAGGAGCACAGGTTTGCAGTGAGTCCTGGAGTAGGAGGCTGGCTCCACCCCTCACTAACAAACCTCAGACATTCTCTTAACCTTTTTGAGCTTTGGTCTACTGAAATGTGAAATTGGGAAAATGATTTTCACCTTATAGACTATTGAGGGGATTGGATTAGATAAAGTGGAGACATAGCACCTGGCTCTTGATAATGTTTTTGTAGCTCAAAAACCTGCCATGGCTCCCTATTTATACCCGATACAATCTAGACTCCTGTGACCCCAGCCCACCTCTCTAAATGAATCTCTCCACTCGCTATAAAACCCACACTCAGTCACACCTACTGCTGTCCCAACTGTATCTTTTATTGTCTCACTCTCCACAGCCACTATCTTTCTGATTAAGTAGAGAGCTCCAGGAAAGAGAGTCATGGAGCAGGCAGGGAGGAAGGGCTTACTCTGTCCAGCTAGATAGGATAGTAAATCAACCTTGGCTGTCTATCAAGCACCCACCCTCATGACCTCTCTTTACTTGCCAAATTTTAATCATTCTTCCTGGCTTACTTTAAGCACCACCTTTGCCCATCTCAGTTCATGGAATCCATTGCCAGAACATTATTGAGATCATTATCTGGTATACTCATTGGCCATTTTTCACATGCTACTTTATATTGTCGTGAAATTGCACACATGTATCAATATTCTCCTAAATAGAGGGTAAGCTCCTGGAACGCGGAAACCACATCTGTATTGCTGGGTATCTCCTACAATGCTAGCACATACATAGTGTTTTCATGACTTACATGCATAGTTCTATACTTTGCAAGAAAACTGTGGGTATATAGCACTGCTTTAAATAGGTGTTAGTAAAAGGGTCGTGGAAGGACACAGAGTTTTCTTTCCACCCACAAAAGGAACTGGCTGCACTTAGCTCTTGAGGGTGCTGGATTACCGATAAGATGCACCTAAGATAGGTGTTAGTTCTACGTGTTTCTGTGATTCTAATGGAACTATTGCTTTCTCTGTATCTGAATGTGACTAAAATGGCCAGTGAACAGCCACTTCCTCTGGGTACACTTTTAAAAGCTACTTGGAATTTTAATTATTGAGCTGCTCTTACAGGACCTGGCCCTGTGGCTTTGCATTTGACCATTCATGGCTTTCTTCTGCTCTTCTCTTAAAGCCTCATAAGTTCTTCTCTCCCACCATCTAAGCAAAGTTGATGAAAGCTAGTGTGTAAGTTTTCTAGCACTATATTCTGTCAATTGAACAGATATTTCTCCAGGAACTACATTGTCCTAGACACTGTGGGGAGGATTAAAGAAGAAAAAAAAAAAAAGCAGCAGCTGCTCTTTACTTGTAAGTCAGCACCTTCTGTTTGAGAAGCCAAGAGTTAACCTAATGTTACCATATTAAGCAGCTGCACTTTCTTTTTTCATTTTTCGTTGTTAATATCACCTGCTTCGTGTTGATTACTGTTAACTTAAATTTTTAGAAGATGTTTTCTTTCCTGACCACTTTTTTCCTAAGAAGTTCCCATATACTGTGTTACGGGGTTGAAAGGAAGGCATGATCCATCCAGTCGAAGGGAGCTTCTCAAGGAATTCATGGAAGAGGGAAAATTATTGCCCTGCCCTTTTGTGGATATTTATGGAAAAGAAAAAGAGGTCCTTATTTTAATGAAATCAGAAAACTTAATAAATATCTATGGGCCTTTCAAAATCCTCTAAAAGACAAATTATTATTCACATGTTATCATTCTCATAGTTAACATAGTTTTAGGTAGATTAAACACATGTTACTGAGCTGTTTCTAGGTGCTATATGTATACTTTATGGTAGAGAAACTCTGCCATATAACTTGTAAACCTAAAATGCATGGTACATTTTTTAAAACTGTTGCGAGGTAGGGCAGGAGAGTGGAGAGAAGCTACACCGGGTTCCAGACCCCGCTCTGACATTAAGTAGCTGTATGATCTTCAGCACAGCCCCTTACCCTTCCCGGGCCTCCGAGTTGTATCTGGTCAACCTGAGGGCCTTAACAGTGATGTTCTCTCATTTGCTGGGCCTGACTTTCTCCCTTGCTCCTTCTCCTCAGATAGCCAAAACTCCTGTTTAGGAGATAAGATAAAAGACCACGAAGCTCTTTAAAAAAACAAAAAACAAAACTATCTAAAATGACTGATTAGGCTGCTCTGAGACTGGGGCAGAGGGAGGTAAATCAGTGTGGGGGTGGGAAGGGGGAGGGCTTCACCAGAGAGAGTCTGAGCTGGATCCAGAGGTTAGAGGAAAGGAGGTTCATGTTTTGTCTTTAAATTTTTCTGTCTCATCAATCTGACCTTAACTCAGTAAATCAGTTCTGATAGTAAAGGCCAAGAATATTTCAATAATATGCTGTTTGGATAGAAATCTGATGAAGAGATGTTCTGAACTGAAGCCAAACCACAAGTAATGCCTAGTTCACTAACATGGCAACTCGTGGACGTCAGTTTCTTCCCAGCGCTCCAGATGACCAGCTTTACTTTGACAAGCTTAGGTTTTCTGCATTCATTTATTTCACAGCCACTTTTGTTTTTCCCTGTAAAGATTTTTGGGTATTTTCTATTTAATAATAGAGCGATATCATTAAACTCCCTTGCAATCTTGCTTCTATTAAATTGGAGGCCTGGACTGCTAAAATTTGACATCCTGTTGTATGCTGTGTCACAGTACATTTTAGCATGTGGTTTGAAGCCAGTCCCTTTGTTTATTGTCACTCAAATCCTCACTGAATGAGGAATGACAGGTGACATAGGGATGCTTCTCTTGGAATCTAGTTATTGGGTCACTAGTGGCCTTACTTTGTATCAGTAGATCCCATTTTCCTCTTTTGCTTTTCTTTAAAGAATTTTCTCAATGTTAATTTTTTTATTCAAAAATTTGGAAAATACAAAATCTCATCAAGTAGAAATTAACAATGACCCAAATTCCCAACATGCAGAGTTAATCACTTTTCACATTTTGATTTATTTGTAGTCTGTACTTTTATTTTCCTTGTATACTTCAATAATTTTTACTGTAAAAATGTAGTTTTTCTTAATTAACAAGTTGACCGTTAGGACTACTCAGTACTAGGTTTCTGTGTATTAAACTTGAGTGTGGTATTAATCAGGCTTCCACTGCAATGGTAGATAACAAACAAACCCCCAAATCTCAGTGGCTTGTAACAGTAACATTTATTTCAAACTCTAGTGTGCAGGCTGGCTGCAGTTTGAGCTTGGCTGCCTCAGCTGATCTAGGCTGAAGTTTAGGCTTCATGTCTGGTACACATATCACCATTTTAGGGCCTTGGCTGAAGGAGCAACAGGGACCTGCAGTATGCTCTTCTCTTGGCAGAGGGTGGCTAGCAGAAACTTGCCATGCCTCTTGAGACCTTAGCTTAATATTGGGTCATTACTATTCCACCCACATTGTTGATCAAATCAAGTTACTTGGCCAAGCCTGAAGTCAGTAGGGTGGGAAGAATACTCCTCTCATAGGGGGGCCGTTCTGTATTAGCTTGGTTTGCTCAGGCTACCTTCACAAATACCACAGAGTGGGTGACTTGAGCAACAGAAATTTATTGTGTCATAGTTCTGGGTGCTAGAAGTCTGAGGTCAACATTTCAGCAAGGTTGATTTTTTCTGAGGCCTGTAGATGTTTGTCTTCTTCCTGTGTTTTCCCATGCTCTTTCCTTTGTATGTATTTGAATCCTAATCTTTTCTTATAAGGAGATTAGTCATATTAGATTACAGTCCACCCTAATGACCTCATTTAATCTTACATTTCTTTTTAAAAACTCTGTTTTTAAATACAGTCACATTTTGAGGTACTAGGAGTTAGGACTTCTATATATGAATTTTGGGGGCACGCAATTCAGCTTATAACACTTGGTCAGGGTAGAAAACAAAGGAAGGATTGTAGACAAAGAATACCCCAAGCACTTAACCTCCAGTGAGGCTCAGCTTCCTCATCTGTAAAATAGAGGTAAGCATCTTTGTGTTATGGGTTTGTTGGGGATCGACCTCAAATGGAAGGCCCAGAGCGAGCCTTCTCAGGTCTGTCTCCCTGTCTTCTCTCTTGTGGGCAAGCTGGGAATGCATGCAAGTCAGAGTAGCCTGACTTCCACAGCAGCTATGTGATCAGTGGAATCTTTGTGACAAAGCCGTAGGACCTTTTGTGTACTTTCTTTAACAAAGTTTAAGCTAGTGTGAATTAATGAAAAAGGGAAATTGCTTGTCTCTCCACTTCAGCCTTGTTTTATGCCCATTTCATATTGTTGTCTGGGTTGTAATTCATACTTTTGTTGCCATTTCTGATGTGTAAAATTGGTTGTCTTTTAAGTATCTTACGAAGAATTCAATTGTAAATAAACTGTTGTGGCTGTTAAAAAAAGATCTGTGGCCTTAGTCACACTATGTTTCCACCCATGAGCTATGGCTCTAGCATCCTTCCTTTACCACAAATATTTTTGAAGATCTTTTATAGTTTAATAGAGCTGTGGGCTTCATGGCATAAGGCACAGCCCTGCTCTCAAGGGACTACCGTTGAATGCCTGTGAAACAAGTGAGTTAGAAGGTCAGAGTAGAGAGTGTTCTTCTCTCGGCCTCTGTGTTCAAAGCCACCTGCCTTACACTTTGTAAATCTCCTTTGGTTTTCTCCCCTAGAATATTGTGCTAAGGAATGGTTCTGAGACCTTTGACTCCTGGAAGAAGCCGCCCCTGCCAGTGTATTCCCAGTTCTATTTCTTCAATGTCACCAATCCAGCGGAGATCCTCAGAGGAGAGATCCCGCGATTAGAAGAAGTGGGGCCGTACACCTACAGGTGAGTCCCGACCGCCTCCTTGCCATACTGGAAATATGGAGTGACCCCACTGTGGACTGAATCCCTTGTCTTTTCCCACGAGCATCCTCTGGGTGCTGCTTGGAGGGCACAAGTGTGATTACATCTATCTGAGAATACCTTCGTGGCCTGGAGTTGTGCGTCAGCCTGTGTGTTTAAAAATGCAGCTGCTGCTTTCTAAGTTGGCAGAATGTGGTTATTGAGCCCAAAGAGTTACTTCTCACCCCAAACTCTTTTAAGGTCACCCTTTGACTATCTTTGGTGACTTCTAGCACTTTCCCCTATTCCCCTCTCCTACTAGTTTTAAACCAGTTCCTAAAATTCATTGATGGTTTGCAGACAAGCCTTTTAGTCTCT